CAATATGGCTGCCGTCGCATCATCCAGGTGGATGTTGCACATTGGTGGTGGTTGAGGAGATTCCCCCTTTCTATGTAAAGCGCTTTAAGTACCCAGAAAAGCGCTACATAAATGTAAGGAATTATTATTATTATTATTATTAAATCCGGCTCCCCCATCTCTCTCTCAGTCGCTCTGTGTATCTGGTCTTTACCACTACACTCGCTATCTTCGGAGCGTGTGCCCCCTTTCCTTCTTTCACATAATGGTATGATCCTAGTCTATCCTCCCATGTCTCGCTTTATTGTGCTATCCCAAAGGGATCACTTTCACTTCCCACACAAAATCCCTTTTAGGGACAGTAAATTGATGCATCGCAAATCGCTAAATGATTCTGCATCGATTCTGAGATTTTCCAAAGGCATCGCGATTCTCTCTTGAATCGATTCTGAGCTTAGTTTTTAACAGCAGATGGCACTGCATGCTTTAGAAATAGCCGTATTCTGCTTGCTTCTAGTTCCTTACACACGCACCACTTGAACCTAAAAGAATCATTCATAAAGTTCGAAAAGGTTGAAGCGAATTACAAGGATGTTCACATTGAGCTGTGTTTACATTAATCTCGCATCATAAAAGCATTAGAAGCATAAAAGCCGATGTGCAAGTACATTTAACCCCTTACATTACTCAGCCGAACTCACAAGTGCTCTTCTTCGTAAGCATTTGAGTGTGCGGTTAAAAACTAACCTAGATCACAATCTGTTGTTAAAAACTAAGCTCAGAATCGATTCAAGAGAGAATCACGATGCATTCCGAAAATCTCAGAATCGATCCACAAATCGCGATGCATCGATTTATTGTCCCAGCCCTTGTTTACACTGCCTCTGAAACTTTCATCCGTTATAAAAAAATTTGGATCATGTTCGATTTTCTGCGTTTTTCGCACTCGTAGCAAGCATTTTGATAGGAAAGGAGGATGAATACAAAAAAAAAAGAAATAATCTCAGAATCGATCCACGAATCGCAATGCATCGATTTATTGTGCCAGCCCTAATCACTTCATCAGATTTTTAAATTAAATGTTCCCTCCTGGTCTCCTGACCTGCCCAACTCAATCCGAGCATCTGAATCCTTAGCCATCTTCAAGAATCGGCTAAAAACACATCTCTTCCATCTTTATTTGACCCTCTAACTACGGCACTCTCTATTCTAATTCTATTCTTTAAAAAAAAAAACTTGCCTCTTTTAGACTTGCACTCTATTAATTTACTAACTGCTTGTTTTCTTTAAAAAAACTAACACTAGCTTGCTCTATTCTTTTTCTATTCTATCTGTTTTCTTTTTATTTATTATATAATTAAAAAAAAAACCTTGCCCAGTTTTAATGTACTACATTAAGCTAACTGAGACTTGTTATAGCACTTGCATGTTTTTTTGCTCTTTTGTTGATTTTGATTGCTTCCATTGTCCTCATTTGTAAGTCGCTTTGGATAAAAGCGTCTGCTAAATGACTAAATGTAAATGTAATGTAATGTAAATTGGGCTAAAATATAAGGCTCCAGCTGAAGATTCGGCTCTCCCCGACGGGAATCGGCTCTTCTTGTTCACTACAAAGAATTGGCTCTTAAGTCCGGCGCAGGCTCGTTCGCGAACGACACATCACTATCACAAATCAATCATTTTGCCTCGGAAGACTTGGAATATTAATACTTTTTAAATAAATTATGACTCTACAGTCAGTATCTGCCTGTTATATCTTGTGTTTTATTGACAAATGGTAGGTTTAGGGTCAGGGGTTGGGTTACGTGCTCATAAATGTGTAAATAGTGTAATATAAATAAAACTGTTGTGACTGTTTATATTGAAAAATCACACCCCAACTTATATGCAATATATAGGGCTAAGGGTTCCTTATTTAAAGCAGGAGGACCCTGCATGGAGGACCCTGCACGTTGAAAAATAACGCTAAAGGGGTACCCTGTGCTTCAAATATGACGCCAAGTTGTCCTGACCAAGCGTCAATATGTAACCAGTTGAGAGTGAGAACGTGTTGAAAATATCAATGCTAGTACAAAGATACAGTGTTTTATTTAGCACTAGATATTTTGCAACATTCCTCTTCTCGTGTAGTACCATGAATGCTTTTACATCAGCATTTTATATTAATGTTGGTCATCTTTAATGACAAATATACACACCTGCTATGGAATGTTTTTTGTCTACAGTATTCCACCTTTTTAATTTAGATACTTGACTTGAGTCCTAGTAATTGACAGACAGTTCCATGTGTTGCTTCTGTATGCAGGGTGAACCTGGATTCTTTGGGCCTCAAGGTGAGCCTGGGCTTCCAGGCCTGCCAGGAACTAAGGTGTGTTTGTAACACAGCCAGTGATGATATATATCACAGTTTAATATTGTGGTCTTTGTTTGTGGTTTCATTCAGATGTGTCAGTGATAGCTCTGTTAAGGACTGAAAGGTTAACAAACAACAAATGACTAAAAAAGTTTGTTCATTTTGTGTGGGAGCACTACTCTGCAATCTACTGAGAAAAAAGCTCAATTTAAACTATTTTTACCAGACTTTTTTATTACTTAGATTATTAAACCAATGTACATATTAAATTAGTATTTGATTAAATAAGTAAGATTTATGTAAGAGGCAATGCAGTGAGGCACCTATGAAAAAAAATCTAATCAATGACTGCGTTCGAAATCGCATACTCAATGAGTAGGTACTTAATTTCAATAAGTACTTACTTAACGAGCGCTAATAGAGTACGTACTCTACAGCCAAATCTCGTTAAGTATGAATGAGATCCGGACTTCATCCGCCATGTTGACGTTATCATGTGACCTATGACGTTACAAGCGCAACAACTTAAAAGATATGAGCGACAGGTTTAATTCATCTATCTGTAAATATTTTGATGTTGATGAAATTTGCTCATTTTGTGGTCTTAAGAAACAGCTGCCCTTTTATTGTGATTGAAGTACAACCAAAAAATATAAAGTTTTTATATTTTTAACCCTACTAATATGACCCACAGTTTTATCCTTAAATATATTATATTTTATTATGAAAACCCCAAATTGTTGTCTTTTCAATATGTTAATTTCTTTATTTTATGTTCAAAATCTTTCATCCACAAGCAAAACCAGCTTAAATCTTCGTTTTCCTCTTTTTCTTGTTGAATTTAACTCTTTGTTTCATCCCTCAGGCTTATAAATAGCAACATTAACAACAATTGTGCCTTACTATGTACTCAAACCCATTATATTTATGTTTTATATTATGATTGTTCATCAGGGCCATGCAGAGACCTTTGGAGGGGCAGGTGCTCAAAGTATAAAAGGGGCACATGGAGCACGGCTTTTAATAGGGCTGTGCTCCTTGCTGAGACATGTATCGAAACGGATGCTTCTGTATTGATAGCAGCAAATGCCGTGA